TATAACTGTTATTAAGTTTTGGTACAGTTGCTGAGGAAATAAATCTTTTAGTAGCAGTATTAAATACTTATATTTTTAAGCATATATAAAGTCGCTGTCAGGTTACTAGAAGCAAGTGCTGGTGGAACAAAATTCATTTTACTATAACATGTATTGAATTTATATCAATACTTTAGATAAATGTTATGTTGTATGATAAGAGCTAAATATGTGATATTTAGGTAACAAATTTCCCTATGTTTTTACATCTATTTGAAAATATATATTTGTCTTAATTGTGCAGGAGAGCAAAGCAACATAAAAATAAACACAATACAAAAATTTTGGACTAGCGTACCCGTTCCGCCAAAACGGTGCGCTCACTTTAAATTCGACACATAGGCGCCGTATTCATTATCCCCACACCTAGTCTAAAGAACTCACACTGGATCTTGCACACATGAGTTTGCACTTGTTCAACCTTCAGTGCACCCGTGCTGTAGTTGAGGCACCCCCGTCCAAGACTCAGTGCACCCGTACCATCATTGCGACACACTCGAGCTGATTTGCAGAACCAATTTTGGCATGTTTTTTCTTTTCTTTACCGAGCTTTATTATAAATTAACTCATGAGACCAATCTTAGAGCATCAGAGATGCGTTTAGAGGTTGTAGCAAAGAGGGAGTTTTTAGGAGAGAAAGCTTTCCTATTATGTTTCTCTCCTTCCTGTGGATTGAAAGCTTAAGAAGTGAGTTTCCACCACCTTCCTATGGATTGAAAGCTTAAGAAGTGAGTTTCCACCATTAGTTTTTTATGAGTTCGTGAGAGATCTGTTGTATGAGAGAGAAATGTGCTACTCTTATGGAGAAGACAAGTCTTAGTGTAAGTTTTCATTATTGTTTTTTTTTTCTGCAATGGAGATTTGCATGAATTTTCTGTCTGTGGTTTTCTCGACAGTGCATTGCTAAACTTTTATTCATGTCTCGTGAAGTAGGGGTGGTGATTTCATCTTGATTTTCTAAGATATTTTTCTTTTAGTTTTTTTCTTGTGTTTTCATGTCCTATGTTGTTATTTAACCTTCATTTTTAATACTTTACTCCTAGTTTTGCCAATTAGGATGTTAAAATATTTCGTGAAATCGCAACTTCTAATGAATGCGTTGTGAAAACGAAGGGTTAACCACATAATTCTGAGAGAACAGACATATGCCAGTGGAATTCTGCGATTTTTCTAGGAATCAGAATAACCACACAGAATGCCACAGGGATTGAGGAAGCCTCAACTTCAAGGATTCTAAGCTTCTTTTGACCTAGACATAGGTATAAGAAGTAACATATCTCTGATTGGCAACAATCAAATAGAAAAATATTAGGAAATCCAAAATCATCGTGATCCTTGAATCACAGAGGCACGAGCCTCATCAATCTTGAAATAAATCGTGAGATTTTTCCATTTTTTTTGTTTCCTCTATCTACAATCTATTCTACTTCATTAAGACTAAGATTTAAAGCTCATTTTGTGAATCTGCCAAACTAGATTCGCGAGATTCGTAGACTAAAATTTTTTTTGTTGAAATAATTATTACATTTCTCCGTGGGATCGATATATGGTACTTTTTAACTGAATTATTTCTTGGCACATGCACTTACATTGTAGGACCTACTTACATCTCGGTAAGTTTTAGCACATCATTGTACATCCACTAATGCTTTCCAAGTTGAGGAAGAAATTAGTACAGTTTCACCTAACAAAACAAAACAGATACTGAGGTTATTGAGATGGAAACACAACAAAAAAATCATATGAGTAATGTTAATTGTTTCCAAGGTAATGAACAAGAACAAATGGTTCAAAAAATTAATACAAATCCATAGGTAAATTTGATTGATGATGTAGGAGAGAGGTGGGAAGGAGGGTGACAACTAGTTGAAGAATTCTAGTTGCTATTATTGACGAAGGAATCAATGTCATCTTAAATCAATTTTTGATGTCACACGAATAGGATGTCCACTTAAATGGATCGGGACTATTTACTTTTCATTCATAGCATCTCGTACCTTAAAATACCCATTTAGACCTCCTGGTGCATGTTCACGACACAAAACCAAGGTCTACATTGATTTAACCTTACCCAAGAAAGTCTGTCTTTAAATAGCATTAGTTATGATACGAGGAATGTTTAATGCCCATCCTAGTGTTTAAATACAATAATCCATACATCCAGAGCCTCCTTTCATCAAAGGAATCCATCAAAGCTTCATATGGGCATTTTAAGAAGATTAGGGTTTAGAACGTCTTACCCGTGCGATAATTTGGGGCGCCCGCTAGCAATGAAATGCTTGATATAATGCCAAAAAAATGCTCAAATTTCATGATATATCACTATTTTTTAGTCATATGTAGTCTTCCATAGCTTATGAATTGAAGAAAACCTCTGCCAGAGAATCTACATGAAAATCATGGTTTTTGAGCCAGGCCGACGCATAGGCACCCGCCCCTGGCATCTAGTCGTCGAGCTTGACACCTAGGTCTCAATACTAGGCGCTTGGGTACTCAAAGTACTTCCCAGACTCTTTAAGCCAAGAGCCTGGAAAGTAGACACCAATCTTCTGGTGACAAGGTGCCTAAAACTGCTCTGAATAGCTCCCGAACCTGAGCAAGAAGAAAGTAGGCATCGATTGTTAGCGCCTAGGTGTTTGACCCTGTCACTTAGGTGTCAGGCCCCCGACACCTAGGCACTCGATCCAACTCTAAAACCGAGTGTTGACCTCACTTTTGCGAGGACCTTTTTTTCCTCTCTATAGAAGCCGATGATTTAGCCTTAGGATTTTATAATGACCTTCTTAGACAACAAGACATGAAACTCACTCACATAGAACTTCAAATCAATTTTACATTCACTTAGTGCTTCATGAGGTTTGACCTAAATACTCAACTATCAATTGAGATTGTTAGATTTTAGACCAATAGAAGCCCAAGTTGAATTTCTAGGTGAAGATACCTTAGGCAACCCGAAGTTAGCCTATAATCTTAGGAATCCCTTTGATGGCCTGCTAACCACCTCAACACCCTCTTTAATCTAGAAGAAGCCCATTGGGCATG